TACCCCAGTTCTGTATGAATAAATAAACAAATCTTTAAATATATATATATATTAAAAAAAATCCTGGTAATTTAACAGAACAATTACAGTGGTTAGGCTGAGGCTTTCCAAAACCTGAAAACATTTTCTGTGGGATTTCTAGAGAAATATTTCACTGCGTAGAACCCAAATTGATTGCTTCCACAAGTGTTTAAAGTTCAATATAGTAATTTTCTTTTTATTTTTCTATACATACTTCTATTTCATAAGAATGGCCTAGGATAACTATACACAGAAGAGAACATTTATGAAGATATTTAACTCTTTGCTGGAGTAACACAATTAAAAATTATTACATTAGCACTACATCTAGGGCTTTTTGCAACTATGAAATCGTAGTTATGAAAACATGACCCCAGAATCACTATCTAAAAAGTAGCCACTACCTTTTGCTATGTGTGTTCTGTCTTTTTTATTTTTCCTTCTTTTTTAAAAATCAACTCTACTGTTGCTGCTTTCTAGCAAAACTAGTAAAAAGTGATAATAATTGAACACAATGCTCTCGCAATCAAACCTAAAACTTTCAACTTTCTTGAACAAGGAAAACACTGTAAGTGGTCATAAATTTTCCAGACTTGAAGACTTTCGCAACTAACCCTGATCAAGTCATCATAGGCAGTCTGACTTAAGTTTGTTTCAAAGCTAACATAAAAATAAATTCTGGTTTTGGAGAGATATGAATAGTTCATTAAGTTATATCCATTACTATAGCAGTTATATCCATTACTATACTAGTAGTCGTAAGGATTGAATAGTGTGGATTAGAGACAGAGCCTGGGTTGTCCCACATAAATTCCATTGTCAGAAGTGATGTCTTTTACATGGACGCCATACATTTTTTGATGAATGAACATAACTGCTCAGTCAACGTCACTAATTAGAATTTCCAGTGTTTTATTGGCCTTATTGAATATATGGCTTTCTGAGAATTCCAAAGTTTGCAAGTACCAACAGTCAGATCCATATCCCACATAATAGGCTGCTCCACTTAGGAAAAATGCATCTGGGAGCTAATTCCTTGAAATTCTGATGCGTTCCCTTGATGAGAAGGCTTCAGTAAATGAATACCAGAATAAAAGAAATTTTGAGTGGAATCAAACCTATTGCAATACAGAGTAAGTTTCAGCAGGGGAACCAGTGCTTTCAGCAAGAATGTGGTGCCAATACAAATATGAATATTGCATATCCTTCAAAAAATAGTCCACTCAGATTTTGGGTGCTGTGAAGATGCCCAGATCCTAGCCTTTCTTGTGGTTACAGCTTCTCTGTCAGAAAGAATGTCTAGCTTCTATCAGAGTAAGACTAGTGAACAACCAACAACCACAGAAAATTCACTGAATTAAATCTTCCAAGCAGTCACTGCTGTAGATTGTTCCAGTCATGTTTCTAAAGTTCAGGTTCCTTTTTTTTTTTGCTATATTTTTATGTCATTTTTTTTCTTTTAAAAATGGATTAATAATTTTTTTGTGTGTGAGTGAAAGTTGAGTGAGTTTGTTGGAAAGAGGTCGATAAAAGTTCTAGTCTCTTGGCCCTCCCTGGTGGCGCAGCGGGTTAAAGCACTGCACTGGGAAGCTTAAGCCACTTCCACATGAGTTCGATTCCCGCCTGCCCCAGAGGAGTCTACAGGGCGTGGCAGACCTCTCCTGACCCGCCCGCTGTTCCCCTCAGCAGTGTACTTTGTCGATTTGCCTGTTCTGTGCCCTTCTCTGTCTCTGGTGAATCCTCTCACCCTCTGCATCTCTGGCCTGTACCCCAGTTCTGTATGAATGAATAAATAAATCTTAAAAAAAAAAAAAAGTTCTAGGCTCTTGCATTCCATTTTTTTTTCCATTAAAGAGAGTCAAGCAAGTGCTAGCTAATGTTGCTGGCCATGTTGTGGAAACCATGATATCATTTTCTTAAAGGAGATTGAATTTATATTGCTGTATCTTTGCATAAATTGATCAAATTCATGGGTATGGTTCTTAATTAGCATTCTTAAGTGTCTATATGTTGTGTATATATATTTTTTGTTGTATATGCATAAACATTTTATTTCAAAATTTATTTTAATTTTTTTCTTTTGTGGTAACATTGATTACAACATTGCACATGAATCATAAGCATAGGATCACACCTCCTCAGATGTATGTCCTCACAACTCACCTTGCAGGAAGGACCCATGGTCTTCCACCATCGTCTGTGCCTCATTTCCCCACTCTTTATCTTTCTTGCTCCTTTTGTAGCTTCAATTTTATATCAGTATTCTGGAATTTGTTACTGTTTGTATTTTATCAGAACATTTGTTTCTTTATGCTCCAAATGAGTAAAATAATTTGGTATTTGTCTCTTTCTGACTTGTATCTCTCAGCATTATCCTCTCTAATTCCATCCATATTGCTACAAATGGCAAAACTTACAGGCAAACCATAGACCTGAGACATATCACAGGGAACAAATTGAGGGGTCATAAAAGGGAGGGACGAGCACAAGAGACTATCGTGGCAGCTCATGGGTGACTTGAGAGTGGGAATTTTATGGGGACTACACCTGAGAAATCAAAATTATTCAAAAATAAACAATGATATAAAAATATGTAAAAAGAATTCAACTCTTTATTAATAGCTGGGTAATAGTCCATTGTGTGTGTGTTATGTATACACATATATATGTATATATGGGTATATACATACATATACCATGTCTTAACCCATTGCTCTATTGATGGCATTGTTTCCAAAATGTGGCTATTGTAAATGACGCTGCAGTGATTATAAGGGTGGTTATGCCTTTTGGGTAGATGTTTAGGATTAGAGTAAAAAAAAATTTTTTTTGAGTAACTTCCATATTGTCCATAAAGACTGGACCAGTCTACATTCCCAACAGCATTCTTGCCAGCACTTATTATTTCTGGTCTTGATGGGGGTCATTCTCATGAATGTAAGATAGTATCTTATGATTTTGATTATAAGTAATGATGACCATATTTTCATGTGTTATTGAACAGACATCTGTATGTTTTCTTTGGAGAAGTACCTCTATATAGCTCTTCTGACCATATTTTGTTTCAGTTATTTTTTTTTTCTTTTCCTTGTGTTGTATTTGTTCTTTGTAAATCTTGGATGTGAGCCCTTTTCCAGATGTGTGGCATGCAAATATTTTCTTCCATTCAATAGAGTGCTTTTTGTTTTACTGAGTTTCTCTTACTGTATGTAAAGATGCTTTTAATGATTTATATGTATCTTTGCCTTAACTCAAAATTAAGTATTGTGTTGAATATATTGCCTGAAATCAAAATGAAAATTGTGATCTCTCTTTTTAAAAAAATAATTTTATAAGGCAGTATTTAAATCACAGCTTTTACTGAAAGTCTTATATTTGCTATGGGATATAGGTCATTGAACTTTATCTACTCTATTTCTTTTCTTTTACAACAATTAAAACTATTTGGTCCTCTTTCCATCCATCTACTGTTGCAATCCACTGGAATCTATATGTAGAGTTTTATTTCCCTCTCAAAGTTAATATGACTAATTTTCATAGAAAGGAAAGGGATGCTAGAGTGTCTTAGTTCTAGAAAGTGTGCTCTTAGTGAGAAGGCATCACAACATTAGTAGTGTTATTTCTTTAGGAGATAAAAGTGACATAATTTCCATTTTGATCAGGAATATAAAAATGCAATGGATCTTCTTAAGTCTGGAAACAAATACTGGCTTTGCTATTTTATTAGGTTTTGGCTGTGTGTGTTTTTCACATATGACCATGTAAATGCTTAAATATACAACAATCTGTGTAGCAATATAATTATACTGTGGATTGCCTAAACATTCTTTCCTACTAGTTTTAATCTCAAAATCACATTGAAAGATTTTATTATTTATATGCTTTGATGAAATAAAAACTAACCTTAAAGATTATGCTTTTAACTACAAGGTAAGCTTCATCAGTTCTTTTCATTGGCATTAAAATGTGAAAATCGGCCCTGCCTGGTGGCACAGCGGGTTAAAGCACAGCACTGAGAATCTGAAGCCACTTCCACATGAGTTCGATTCCCGCCTGCCGCCTAGGTGACCACATGGCGCGTCAGAACTCTCCTGACCCGCCCGCTGCTTCCCTCAGCAGTGTACTTCGTCAATCTGCCTGTTCTGCTCCACACTCTGTCTCTGGTGAAGCCTCTCACCGCCCCTGAGCCTCTGGCCTGTACCCCAGTTCTGTATGCACAAATAAATAAATAAATCCTTAAAAAAATGTGGAAATCTTCCAATATTGCACAAGTTGTTAACAGACTAGTAGTCAATGCATAAATCACAACATTTTTCACGTACCAGGTCATTGTAACCAGGTGGCAATTCTGTTGTATATCCGTAAGGGAACAGTATCATCTGGGAGTAGGAATGGAAGGTGATGTAGGCCTTGATTAATTTCCGGTTTCTTCGGATAAAGTCAGTGACAGCTTTTGTCTCTTTTTCAGACTCTGGTGCAGGGCCCCGATAGATAGGACTACAGGGGTTCTTAGTGTCAGAAAAAGCTGCAGAGAATATGGGTGGACCAGATTACATTTGTTCTTCCTTTGATTATCCCCTGCCTCTTCCAAGGTGAATTCTCTAAATATTTTAACATTTTACCCCCCCAGGCTTACAGGTCAGATGTCACTGTCACTGTAGAATAACCTTGTACATACAAATCACATGTAACGAATTTGCTTCCTGGAACTTTCTTGTTTATTTTCCCTTTACTTTCCAGGGTCACAGGAATAATATATCAGTATCAGCCTGTGGCTGGGAGCCAGATGTTGCCCACTTCCAACTCAACCCCCTCACACCATCTCCAAATTGTTGGAAATTATATTCTTTGAGTCTGAGCCTCTTCAACATGATTCAGCAAGCCACTAGGATTAACTGCTATTTTGTATTCATCATGAAAAAAAGATTAAAAGTTGAGGAAATATTTTCAATACAACTAGGTAAAGAAAAAAATTATCAATTCGTGTAGTGGTAATTTCTCTTTTAAAGTATGTAATGAGAAAGTCATATTTGTATTGCAACTACAGCTTCATCTGATATACCAGGCCTCTGCTTATCTTTGAAGTTCTGTTCATTTTGTCATTTTTTTTTCTTATTAAGATTCCTTTCAACAAATACCTAAACAACTAACATCAGGTAAGTTGGTTTTACCAAATTGGTATTTCTCAAATTTAGTAGACCAGATAGAGAAGGGTCCTGAGATCTCTCTTCAGAGTAGAAGAATTTTTGTTCGTTGTATTATGCCTGATTTTTAGCAAGATTCATATATTAAGTAAGAGATAAGCTCCACCCCCCACACAACAAAAAACAATTCCTCCATGGTTATGATGATCTTTTCACTTTGTAGATAAGAAAATTAATATCCATCTTTACTGAAATAAGTATGTACTTTAGTTAATTTGGTGATTTAATAGTCTTTATAGCTACTTTTCCTGAGGTGAAGCTAACTACTCACAGTTCCATGAGACATTAAAATTCCTGTTGATGTCAGTACCAATGCATTTGGAGTTCGGGTTCTTGGAACGATTTTTCCTCCACATTCGGTCCTAAAGGATTGAATTGTGGGTTCACACCATATCAGTTTGTATTTTTCAGTTAGGTCATTTCCGATTCTCTCTGTAGGCATCCAAAACTATTTGAAATATATATCTAGTTTACATTAATGGAAGTATAACACATATGTAAAAAAGATTAAGTGAACTATTTTTATGTGTAATATCTTCAAAAACATGCCATTCATATTAATATTCCAAGCCTTCATGAAATGAGTTGATTTTAAAAACTGTTGATTAGTTTTCAGTATTAGAAACTGATCAGGTGGAACCAGCAAGATGGCAGCAGAATGAAGATGCCGAAATCATTACATCCAAGCTCCCACAGGAATATAAGACTAAAAATGGACTGTAGACTTACTACAAGTCTCAATGCAAATGGGAGCATCCTGGACTCACTAGAAGGAAGATAACTGAGGGAAACTCAGTGATTGGGGAGCTCCAATAGGGAGCATTGATCCAGAGCGCCCAGGTGCCCAGGCATTAGGAAATGCCGCTGGCCCGCTAAAGCCCTGGAGATAAACTGAGACAACTCAGTTTGGTGAGTGGAACACCAAACTGAGGAAGTGGAGACTGGGGGCTTCTAACGCTCCCTGCATCTCTTGTCCCCACAGCAGAGAATTGAGATTAGGTGACATTAAGGCTTGGTCAGATCTTGTTGCCATTTTTTTTTTTTTAAGATTTATTTATTTATTCATACAGAACTGGGGTACAGGCCAGAGATGCGGAGGGTGAGAGGATTCACCAGGGACAGAGTGGGGTGCAGAACAGGCAGATCAATATAGTACACTGCTGAGGGGAGCAGCGGGCGGGTCAGGAGAGGTCTGCCTCGCCATGTGGATCTCCTCCGGGGCAGGCGGGGATCGCACTCATGCAGAAGTGGCTTTAGCTTCTCAGTGCTGTGCTTTAACCCACTGCGCCACCAGGGAGGGCCCTTGGTGCCATTTTTAAGGCATGGTCAGCAAGACTCACAAAGCCCGGAGGTAAAAGGGGGAAAAAACCCCAGTTAGACAGGACTCAACCACAAGCCCAACCCTGGGAAACTGCAACAATTTTAACACTGCCCCTGACCCTCTACGGGCACATCCTAGCATAGAGAGGCCCTAGGAAGTGCATCAGATGGGGAGACTTGCTACAGGTCTACCTGCTTACTGCATCTACCCACAAAAACTGTGGCAAAGCCTGGGAGTTAAAGAGAGACAACTTGGCTTGAGAGTTGTGAGAGGACCCAAGGAGTGGGGGAAGACTGCCAGGGATAGACTGTTTGGAGTGCGCACAAAGAGCCCTGGAAGCTCAGAGGGAGGACTGGCAGCCTGCTCAGCTGGGAGGCTTTGAGCCATTCTGGTAATCCCTGCATTCCTGCATTCCCTGCCTCCACAGCAGAGGCCTGAAGACTTGTGAGCCAGAAAAGCTCACAGTTCTCAGAAAGTGAACAAAACCAGCCATCAACTCAACCACAGGCCCAGCTCCAGGGAGACTACAATACTTCTAACGCGCCCCACCACCCACGCCCAAGCATAGAGAGAACCGGGGACATCCAAAGGCAACAATATCAACAGGCACCTTTCAGAGACAAGGATTCAACATGTTATTGGAAGAAGCTGAACACCAAAAGAGACCTCTGACTGTTACTGGCTGAGACAACAGACACAATTCCACACAGTTGGGGCTGGAAAAATAGCAGATATTGAAACAGAGCACAACTCAGAATATCCTTCACAACTGAAGTGTCTGAAAGTCCCTCAGCCATCCCAGAAAGAACATCCAAAAAGAATGCCGGTCAGTAATAGCAATACTGTGTCTCAGAGAATAGAAAGTTTTAGAAAATACATGACAGGGAAAAGAAGACAAATACCCAAAGAAGTCCACCGGGAAAAAATACACCATAAAAAGATCAGTCACCAGAAAGCACCAAAGAAATAGAAGAAATGCTTAGCCTACCAGATAGAGAATTCAGAATCAGCATGATAAACAAACAAAAAGAAGATGGAAGGAAAAAATGATAGGAGGCAAGCCATCAGGGAATTGAAGAATGCAAGCAAGTAAATGAATAAAAGAAATGAAAAAGAAAAAAAAATGAAACAAACAATGAATTGAAGAAAGAAAATGAGACATTAAAAAAAGAAATAGTAGAAATTCAGGTGATGAAAAGGCCACTAGAGGAGATAAAGAATGCTGGGAAAAGTAATGAAAACCGAATAGATGAAATAGGAGAATGAATCAGCACCGCCCCCCTGGAAGACACAGAAATAAAGAGAATTAAAACAGAGAAAGAAAGAGAAGTAAAAAGTAAAAGGAATGAACACTACATAGCATACACTTCAGCAACATTTTTAAAGATACAGCACATGATATGATAGTGAAGGCTAGGATAAATTGATGGGACTACATTAAGTTAAAGAGTTTCTGTACAGCAAAAGAGACATTACAAAAGACAAACCGACATACCACTATTTAGAAAAAAATCTTCTCACACAAAACTAGCGATAAAGGACCCATCACAAAGATATACAAAGATATACAAAGAACTGATGAAACTCAACAAAAATAAACAACCCCATCTAAAAGTGGGCAAAAGAGCTAAAAGGACACTTCTCCAAAGAGGAAATGCAGATGGCCAATAAGCACATGAAAAAAATGTTAAACATCACTTGTAATAAGGGAGATGCAAATTAAAACTACAATGAGATACTACCTCACCCAGTGATAATGGCACATCTTCAAACAACTAGCAACAATCTTCAAACAACTAGCAACAACAAATGTTGACCAGGATTGTGGAGAAAAAGGAACTCTCCTGCACTGTTGGTGGGAATGCAAACTAGTACAACCACTATGGAAAACTGTTTGGAGGTTCCTCAAACTGCTACACATGGAGCTTCCATATGACCAAGCAATCCCATTCCTAGGTATCTACCCAAAAGACAAAAACACACTGATTCAAAAAGATACCTGCACCCCCATGTTTACTGATGCCTTATTTATAATTGGAAAGATGTGGAAACAGCGCAAATGCCCAAAAGTGGATGACTGGGTTAAAAAGTGGATGACATATACACAATGGAATATTACTCAGCAACCCAAAAAATAATAAACAGATGTCTTTTGCAGCAACATGGAGGGAGCTGGAGAAGATCATGCTTAGTGAAATAAGCCAGAAAGTAAAGGAAACATACCGGATGGTTTCTCTTACAGCAGGAATATAACGGACCAGGTAAGAAAATAATAATAGTAATAATGAACAGCTATATACTAGAGATATTTTATGGGGGTAGAGTGGGGAATGGGATCAAAAACAGTGGGGGGAGGGAGATGCACTGGACTATGGTGGTGGCACATGGGTGATTTGGTGATGGGAAGCCCATGGGGATTACAGCTGAGATGAAAAAATGCACAAAATGACATAAAATAAACATATTATTAAAAAAACATATCTCAGAACTAAAAAAAAATGGGTTGTGAATTATAAAGGGGGTTTAATGGTCAAGAAATGTATTAGTTTGCATTAGCAGGGGGTATATAATATAGGGGAGCAAATATCTACTAACACAAAGTATATCTCTGCAAAAACAATTATTTCATAATAACTCTGAAGGTTGGTTGAAAGTAGCTCTTTGTAAAGAATGTTTGCAGGTGTAAAGGAGTTTCAGTCTCTTTAAGGGAATTTCCCTCAATATACTGGGAAAATGTAATCTCTCTAACTCTTATTACGGGAGAAGGCAGAACTAAATCTGCATAAGGTCCTATCCTTTTTTATTTTTCTGTGCTATTATACAGCTGAAATAAATTATTAACTTTCCATCTTAGAAAAAAAAATCAACAGTATTCTGGAATTGCCTACAGATTTTAACTTCATTACATCCTTCACCACTCATGGTTCAGAGGTATAATACAGGTGAAATTGTACCGGTTAGTGTATAATTAAAAACTATGAAAATTTGGCATTAATTTTACATAGCAAGTTGGCCTATAAAAGAGCCTGTTAAAAGCAGTTATTTGTGTCACTCTTTTATTTAGTTTTTAATTTTTAAGATTTTATTTATTTATGCATACAAGAGCTGGGGCACAAGCCAGAGGGGCAGGGATGAGAGGATTTTCCAAAGACAGAGTGGGGAGCAGAACAGGCAGATTGACTGAAATACACTGCTGAGAGGAGCAGTGGATGTGACAGGAGAGGTCTGCTGTACTATGTGGGTGATTTCCTGGCCTGGGATTGTGCTCCTGCTTCA